TTAATTTCGGGTCGATGCTTCGAGCCCCACGCGAGCCACTCCGTTAAGCCGACGAATTAAAAGCACCGCTAATACGGCCCGCTCGAGAATTAACTCGTATGTTCGAGACCATTTTCGTGGGACGAAGGAAGTAGGAACGCGGCGGCGTCGAGGAATTTCTCGTTCTGAGAAATCGACGCGCAACGTTTCGGGCTGGTGTATGTGTTACGCAGTATTAGATCAAAACAGTGGTTACCAACCTACTCAGTCTCCGTCACAATGAAACATGCAATAAGATAATGAAGAACATTGAAAAATATTATGCAAATAAATTCCAGCAAGAAGCACCATAAAACGAACACTTTATGAAATCGCTGTGAAGGAAATCGTTTACCGATGCTGGAAATAGAATCGCGAAGAGCTTTGCATAATTTTCATGTAGATACATATCAATTAGCAATTCTATGCAAGTAGTCTCAATGCACGCGTTCACATGTTACTTCATCGTGTAACGCGTTAATTACTTAAGTCGCGATATTTCGAATCGGAGCAGGTTGATTGGTAACCATCGAGAGTGCAAATAACAACATCACATTGAGAACTAACCTGATATAAATGATGACCCCGTTGGTGCATATCCTTTTCCACCCACGTGGCACGTTGACCGGCGACTGCTGCTGCTGCTGCTGCTGCTGCGACGGCTGCTGCTGCTGCTGCTGTTGCTGTTGTTGTGCAACCACCGCACTACCGCCGTTCATAGTCAACACCACGTTATGCTGCGCACTGTTACCACCGTTATTGTTATTACCGTTAACACGCGACGACTGCTGTCGCACAGCCTGCTGCGCACACGCCACGCCGCCGGGATGATGACTGTTCGCCGTTAGACCGTCTTGTCCCGGCTGATGATGAAGATGACTCTGGCTCTCGGGGCTGCTGAGGCTACTGTAAGTCGTCGCCGTCGACGACTCGCCACCGGTATCGGGCCTCACCGAATCGCAGCCGGTCGCACTAACACCACCAACACCACCAGCACCGTCACTAACACCGACCGTTGCGCCCGACACTGTCACCGTCAACGAAGAGGCGGTCTGGCCGTCGAAACTGTCCTGCTGCTGCTGCCGACCCTTGTCGTCCACTACTATACTCGTCGCCTGTTGCTCGCCGGCGTTTTGAAGAACAACGCCGTTGCCGGCGGGACCCGTCGTCTGCTGAGCATACGCGACGCAGCCGTCGTCGCCGAGGAGGCCGACGCAGCCAACGCCAGCGTCGCCGGGGTTCGCGACGATTCTACCGCTCGCGTTATAGCCGTCGGCGTTCATTCTCACGGACGGGTACGCGTCACCGTGATGAAGTCGCGTCTGCTGATACGTCTTCACGGACAACACGTCAACGTTGCCGTTACCGAGGGCGATGTCCGCCGTCGTCGCGGTCACCGAGTCGTTCTCCGGCGCTAGTTTGTTCTCCCGCGACGGCGCGACGCGCGTCATCATCGCCGTCGTCGTGGCCGCGGTCGCGCACGTTGTCGCCGACTGCCCCAGGCTGGCCTGTCGATACAGCATCGCGTAGTCTTCTTCGTCCTCGTTGCCAGCTAGAGACGCTCGCCTGGACTCACTACCGTCCGGGACGATGGTAGCCGACGCCGCCGTCGTATACTCCAATGACGGCTGCTTCAAACGACAGCAAGCACCCGCGGTGGTGTTGTTTCCTACGATCCCTGTTCCACCAGTACCGTCGGAAGCACAGTAAACGGTGGTTTTGGCGGGAAACGTCGCCGCCGTCGTCGCCACCTGCGGCGTCTGCAGGATGCCGGCGTACGTCGTCTGCTGCGGCGACTGATAACCGACCGCGATAGCGGCAGCAGCGGTCGCGGCGACATTCTGACCCACCGCCGTGGCGTACGCGAAGTTCTCCCCCGACACGTACACCAGAACGCTGTTCTGCTGTATAGCTTGCTGCTGTTGCTGCGGATGATGGGGCTGTTGCTGATGCTGCTGTACCGATTGTTGTTGCACTTGTTGCTGCTGCGGCTGCTGCTGCGGATGATGATGATGCTGATGATGGCCGTGATTCGGGGGAGCAGGGAGCGTGGACGGCTGCTCAGGCTTGCCGGCCATGGTCCAGGTCCAGCAGCGCTGCGGATGACCCCGACGACACCCACGACAACATCACTGGCACGACGTGGCACGTAGCTCGCCTACGTGGAGATATCGGCGGGTAATAGTACCGCCGCATTCTCCGCGAGCGGGTGCACGATCCTTATGCGCTCGGCACCGTCCAGCGGGCACGGCGGCTCGGCAATGAGGACAACGAGGACGGTGAGCTTGGTGGTGATGGAGTCGCGCGCTCGCCGATGCTCCTCGTCCCGTTGCGTTTCTCCGCGCGACACTCGTAGCGCGACATAATACACCGCGCGCGCGAACCCGCTCAGAGCCGGCGCATGTTTGGCGCGCGTAGTACACGCTGCCGCTGCTCGCCGGTCAATGGCCGTCTAACCTCCTTGACGCAGCGGGGATCGCCGGGCATGACGCGCCGCGACGCGACGCGATGCGACGCGCCGACACCGATGTGCTGCTTCTCTCCCGCGATGGCTTCTTCTTCCTTCGTTCAGCTCCTACCACTCGTTTGTCCTTTCTCTCGAGCTGCCTTCGAGCTGACGAGCGCGCGCTCGTCAAAATGTCGCGGCTCCGACACGTACTCCGCTGACACACGCGATCGCGCTTGGGGATGTCGCCGCCGCCATCCGGGGCCGGCCGGCGTTTTCTCTGGCTTCTCCTCTCACAAGTATCGTCGTCTCCGCGACTCAGCGTGCCTCGCGATCGACGCGGCGGACAACTCCTCTGCTTGGCACGCGAGTGAACGTTGCGTCCCACTGAGGCTCGACTCGTAATTGCGTAGCATGTCGGCGGATTGCTCCGACCGCGAGAACGTTGCGCGCAAGGTCTCGGCGGGGCGGCTCAAGGTGACGGTCCTCCGCCGCCGCTGCCCGTTCGCGGCACCGCCGCGACGCGACGCGGTGCAAAATCAACGAAGCGAAGATTCTCGATAGCACACACGCGCTCCCGCGCGGACCAACTGCGTCGCGACGAAATCGGAGCGAAGGACACGGAAAGCACACTGCACGCACGGCTCCGGCACGCTCTCTGCCTTGTCGAAAAATACCCACGACAAAAAGTCAACACTGGTGAGCGAGCGAGCGAGCGAGCGAACGAATAGTGATAGTAGTAGTAGTAGTGAGCAGTAGTAATAGTAGGTCGTGTCAATGCCACGGTCCAACTCGTGTTTTACATTCACGGTCACCTCGTCCCGACCGAGTTGCGTTACACTCGACGACGACGACGAACGCACCGACAACGCGCACTTTGTTATGTCATCGTGTGAGTAGCACACGCACACTATCGCCGAAAGACGAAGAAAGAAGGGGAGGTGGACGAAAAAAAAGAAACGTCACGCAACACGAATCTCACACAGCCGGACAGCGAGCCATCTCCCTCGACACTGACTGCGTACTACGCGGTTAATCGCACTCAACTACTCGGCGGATGGCTCGGCTCGAGTCGTCTGAAGTCGGCTCGATCGGTAATATGGCGCGAACGCGCTCGTCGTACAAAAAACACTTTACGCCGCTGGCGTAACGATTCGGGTTAAATCGCGCACGGACGGACGAGCGTCGTGTTATGACGCTGTGTCATCGTCACAGCAGCAGCAACAGCAGCAGCATCACGACCACCACCACCACCACCACCACTACCACCACCCTACTACTACTACCACCACCACCACCACTGCCTCGTGCCACCACCACTACCAGCGTGACCACTCTACACTACTACTACTGCTACGGCTGCTACAGATACCACCACCACCACCAACAACAACACCAGCACCACTACTACTAGCGCGGTTACGAACTCGGGCTAAGTTAACTAACCCTCTTCGGCCGTGCCGAACACCTGCGCGCTCTGCGCCCCTCCGTTCTCTCACCGCTGTCTCTCTCGCTTCTCGCTCGCGCGGATCTACATACGTCGGCCGATTATTATATTTCGTGACAACCGGCGGCCGCGCGCGACGCTCCGATTACGTCTCGCGCGCCGATCGTTCGACGTCCTGCGATCGTACCCGCGCGTTCACTTTCCGCCGGCGGACACGGACACCGCGCGGCACGCCGTTCGAGATGCCGTCGCCTTACGGATACCTGTGCGTACACGCTACGTTTATACGTAACTGATATTGGAAAAATATGGCTCCCACCGCATACCCAGAAACCTCTGCGGCATCCCGACGGCTGGCTGGCTGGCTGGCTCGCGGCCACTCGCACACGCCACTAAGCACGTCGCTGAAAACATCGACCCTCGTTAGCGACGGTGCCGCTATCAGCCGGCGGAGCCGCGCGTTAACTCTGCGGTTGACATTTACGTACTTACAGAATCCGATATCTGATTTTCTCTACCCCTCTCCCTGCTGTCTCTTTTGCGATACGATCAAATTCTCTTGACGCGAATGTTACATAATGTCGCAGTGAAATGTGTATTTCGTTTCTCTCTTTTTCGATTATTTCATCATGTTTGGTATAAAAATTTAAATGTATATATATATATATATATATTTAGTTAAAAAATAGGAAGCTAATTCAGTCTTACTTGTACGCTTGTTTTTCTTTGACTAAAGGAAAAACCGAAAATAAAAAAACTCAAGACTTCGGTTGAAATTAATTGACATCGATGAAACTGATCATATAAATTGAATATGTTACATACTAACATAATATATACACAATATTAACATACTACTGTATGTTATGCAATTACGTTCACTCTGAGAGAAATAACAGGATAGGAAATTGCGGAAGGAAAATTGCGTAAAGCGAAAGTGTATACGGACGATGAAAACGGGATTACAGATATAATTTTACAAGATTTCGAAGTCGATCATCTCACACGTTGTACAGTTTCAAGTTTATTTAAGACGCTCAAAAAAGGATACTAATCACCATTTTTTCTATAATAAATAAGATTACAAGAGACATATGGGAGGCTATTTATTAAAATTCGATATAGTAACCGCGGACGAGTACACGACCTCGTATACAGTAAATAATGTGTGAATGTATCGAAAGTATATTAATTTAATATAGTACAAGAGCTAAGGATCAACTATAGCATTTGTTCATGCGCGTTAATTATAGGATTACGGTAAAATGAAACTAAGTTCTCAAAAATAATCGATAGTTATTAAAAGATCCTTCCGTAAATTTCCTAATTTTAACTAAATTTCAATTCGAAAGTTTTCTAATTTCACTATTATCGCTTTTACTTGGGGGTACAATACATCGATAAAGGTGGAAAGCAAAAGAATCGTTTGATATTCAACGAATTGCACTGAGCTGCTTACGAATACGCGCAATCGTCCATATACATACAGGAACCTGATTCTCCATTTTATTTGCATTATTCGCAAACAAAACCGTACATTATCGTCACGCGCCAGTATAAAAGCGACTTGGAAAAGAAATTAAATACTATATGAATATGGAATAATGTCCCATTTTGTGTAAAGAGAAGTTTTGAGATCTCTAATATAACCGATAACGTCATATTATCGTTTTATAATCCAACATATCGTTTTTCACGTAGAGACTGACACATCTCGAGATATTATAATTTTCAAGTTCTAAAAAACTGCTGTAAAAGATAACAATTTTTGGATCTTGAGATTTTTTAATAAATCGAGTGCTACTACCAACCTGGAGAGCCAGAAAAAATCGTGTACATACATAGAGACAACCCACGAATTTGAACTAAATATACATATATAGTTTAAATCTATGCTTAACCACATAATAATCACTGTTGAGTTGCTAGCTGATTATTGGGGCGATACAATTGGTCAAATAGCAGAGAATAATCACGATGTTCGAGATACACAACAAATTCCATTATTCATAATCGATATTGTATAGTGTTTGTTCTTTTTTGTGTTAAGTTAGATTGTTAAATAAATTGAAATTTCCTTACCACTGTGTGTAATGATAAGTACACGCTCTTAATGATCCTCTATTTAAGCGAAACTAATGGATGCCATTGAGATGCTCGTCGCCAAGAATTTACAATGTACTTTCATTATACTTCCAGCACAGTAATAGATGTCTACTCTTATCATTTGTGACAATGGTCATCTACCTCCAAGATCTTCGCATAAGGATCATCGAGACACTACAGCTGCAGTATTCTCATAGTCCTGCGCGTATTCGGAACCGAATCTTCATCTTTCTTTTTTTTTCTTTCTATCTCGTTGAGCGGTTCGCCTATATATTCAGCTATATTATTTCTTTCTTTAGCATGACACGGAGTCGAGCGAATGGGACAAAAATGAAAGAAATGGCTATGTTTATTACAGGGTTAGTGTAATCAAGTTAATGCGTGGCACATTGGACTCGCGACGGGCCTCCCTCGTCCTCCTCATATGCTTGTCTTGTGTCCCTTCGCCTAGCTTCCTGTTCAGGATCCAAGTCGGTGAGTATGCACTCTTCAGCAGCGTTCGGAATTACAGTTATTTCTCTCGGTGGCAGACATTGCTCCAACGTCGGGATGACCGACGAGTCAATGCTTTTCGGGAAATTGACTATGAATTGTATTATGAGTCTGCCGTGCGTAAACGGATCCTTGTAAATCGGCATGCCTTCATTCAAGATGCACTTCAAGTCACCGTGTTTCGTAACGGTACCGGGCAGCGAGGTTATCACAAGATCTCTGCCGTCCAATGTGCGGATAACTTTTTGGAATCCACACAACGCTTCCACCAGCTCCAATTGCATTCTCATTATCAAATCGTTCCTTGAACGCCTGGAAAATAATCAACGACATAGTACCAATAAGATCACACGATAACGAGTGAACGCAGTTTAATTATTCAATTATAATGCTACTAACTTGAATACTTCATGTTCTTTTTCTTCAAGTAGAATAACTATATCGCCGGGTTCATAATCTGGTTCTTGATCGCCTTCACCATTGAAAGTTATCTTTTGGCCGTCAACCATTCCAGGATCGACATGAACTTCAAGAATTTTTCTATCTCTAATAGTCTTTCTTCCGTTGCAATGCTTGCAACGATCACGAGGATTGATACGTTCACCTTGACCCTTGCAATCTGAACACATGGTTTGCAAATGTTGCAGCATTCCCGGACCTAATTGTTGGATTTGTACTTGCAACCCGGAGCCATGACATACAGCGCATTGTTCAACAGAACCCTTTTTTCCACCAACGCCTAATTAAAAAAAGGTATCAATGAAAAAAGTCCCTTTTTGGCCGTCTGTTTTGCAATTATAATTTCTGAACATTTACCTTCGCACTTTTCGCAGATAACATTCTTTTGCAGAGCGAGTTTACGTACAGTTCCCTTGTACAGTTCCTCCAGAGAGACTGATAGTTGGTGAATGACATCTTGACCTCTACGATCTCTTCTTCGACTTCGCCCAAATCCTCCGCCAAAGAACATGTCGAAGATATCCATAGGTGACGAGAAGCCACTGTTACCCATACCACCTTCTTTCAAAGCTTGTTCGCCACCTTGATCGTAAATACGTTTCTTTTCAGGATTTGACAGCACTTCGTACGCTTGAGATATTTGCTTAAACTGAAACAAACATGGAATATTTTGTAAATATTCAACTTGTTTGTAGATTATGATAAAGTATGGAATACAATATAAAATCATTGTTAGATGCTTCAAATTAAGATTGATACAAACCTTATCGCCTTCATTAGGATTCTTGTCAGGATGGTATTTCAAAGCTAGCTTCCTATAGGCCTTCTTCAAGTCTTCCTGTGCACATCCAGGTTTCACGCCCAAAACGTCATAAAATGTGGTCTCCTTAACCATTTTCACAGCGTATTAAAGTCCCTTTTGTGTTAAATAATTTGTATTATGCTAAAACTGCTCCTGCTAATGAGACAAAGGAAAAATGAAGATTGTATAAAATTTCTTAATTTCTAACACTGTTACTATTAGCTTGTTATAAATAAGCTAACAATAAAAAATGTGTATATATGTATACATATATACATATGTATATATGTGTATATATAGATGATAATATGAAGTGTTTATTCTTTTGAAACGATATTAAACCAACAATACAAGTATATTGATTGTAAAATCACTTAAAAATAATAAATTAATAAAGATAATACACAAATAATCTCGTATAAGGTACGTATAACTCAGTTGATATATGATAAAGCTGAATTTGTTTCTTTAACACATTTTGATTAAGAATAATAGAACAATATTATCTAAAATGTTAATAATAGGTATAATGATAGTACATTTACCTTGTAGCTCTATACTGTTCATATTTTTAAGATAATAAGTAATTTTTCATTTTTAAAAACTATCATCATTTTTTAATGAGTTAAAAAACAAGATAGTTTCTGCTCATAAAATTCTCACTGATTTATGTTTCTTCATTGAATATTTCTTAAGTGTATATGATTCTATACAAAATACGAATAACACAACTCTGTATGCATACAAAGTGTATAATTTTCCATATCAAGGAGTACTTAAAATATACATTTTATACTTATTCCAAAAATAATACACAATAAGTTGTCTGTTAAAGTACCTAACAGCTATTCCATAATCTATTAACAAAGCAGCATCAGACAGTGTAATTGTATATACTTTTTTCATTGTGATGATGAAATAACAATTTTATATTACGACAGCAAAATGAAATTTATACATGCGAAAATTGTATTCAAATATGCAGTAGCATATGTAACTAGCCATAGAAGTTTGACTCATAATTAATTCATAAAATCTGAACTGAATGCACTTTGATGATTCCAGTAATAGATTGCAAGTCATTGAAACTTAAAATAGTGAGATCATGGTAAACATGCAATATATAGGTATATCCAACAGATTAATTATATCATTCAGTATAAACTTATAGATTAAAGATTCCTAACCTATTCTTCGTGGATTCCTTTTCAAAACTATTTGTATTAAATATACGAAGTATGTAGAATTATATATACAAAAGAAACTAATTAAAATGTAGTTACACGTGTAACTATTAAAACACTGAAAAATAAAATTTGCTAAATTCATTTTTTTAATATTATATTTTAGTTAGTTTTAATTGTAAATTACTGAGGATATCTTTTGCCTATCCAAATTCAGAATCTCCCTGAGCTCACTTGGTCCAGGTTAAAAATCCGGCGAACAAAGGGAGGAGGAGGAAGAAAAGGAGAGAGAGAGAGAGAGAGAGAGAGAGAGAGAGAGAGAGAGAGAGAGAGAGAGAGAGAGAGAGAGAGAGAGAG